TCGCTCTGCCCCGCGGTCCCCGTTGACCTGTCCCCGTCTTCGCTCTGCCCCGCGGTCCCCGTTGACCTGTCCCGGGTGCGCTCTGCTCTCCTGGTGCCCCCTCTCCCGCCTCTTTCCCGTCTGTTGACAGAATTCTGGAAAGCCCGCTCGTGCCCGTGGGCTCTTGACCCTCAACCCACGGCTCGTGGCTTCACCACCGACGTCCTCTCTAAACTCAGAGCGGGTCGCATGAGGCTGCGATCGCTACGTGCCCCGAGGGGAACCGAGCCGCGCCCCCTCGCGCTCCGCCCGCGCGCGCCTGCTGGGCCCTCCCGGAGCGTGAGGACACTGGGAACCAACATTTTCCCTAGTACGAACCCCTGGGTCATCCCTGCTCGTCCGTCGGTCCGTCCTGTCCCCTCGCCCCCCGGGCCCCTTCGACCCACTCCCTCCTTCCCCTCCTCCACCTGGCATCCTTTCTGCAGCAAACACGCTTTGGGTGCCCACTGGGTGTGACACGCCCTCCTGGGCTCTGAGCATTTCGTGGCCTCCTGAATCCCTCCCACGTAAACTGTTTAATCACTGACGGGCAGCAGGGTGGCGGACACCCACAGGTAGCTGAGGACACGCCCAGGGGACGTGGGCTCCCTGTGGTCTGAGGAAGGCCAGAAACAGAACGTTCTAGAAAAAAAGGCTGGCCAGCAGAGACGGCATGAGACCCGATGGGGTTGGGGGGTGCACGTCAGACTGAGGGCTTCAACTTTATCCTGAAAGGTCGGGGAGAGGGGCTGGAGGCCCCCAGGGACAAGCAGGGGACAGAGGGGTAGACCCGGCAGCATGACAGCTGGGGGCAGGCTGAGCACAGGGCAGCACCGAGGACAACCAGTTCAGAGGGCTGCTCGCAGGGTTTAAAGTCCATGTGGGGGACTGAGTTTTCTCGGAGTTTCATGAAGATTTACTGAAACAATGCCTGAGCTTTCCTTGGCACATTCTCGCTCAGCCCTGTGCTCAGAATGACACTGTCAATGAACACCCCTGTCATTATTCCTGGAGGACCGGAGGCCCCATGTCAGAGTCAGCCTGGGATGTGTGGGACATAAAAGAACAGGACTTCGGAGTCCCCAGGCAGTGGCAGTGAAGTCCCCTGAGCCCAACTCGCTGATATATGAGTTCTGGTCGGTGCCTTGGGAGGCAGAGAAAAGCTTCCCCAAACCAGGACTGAGCTCCCTGAGCACAGAACCCCAGGTCTCATGCGGTCCCCATCCTATAATGCTCCTCTTGTGTTAACAAGGACTGAGATGGTTAATTCTGCTTTTGGCAACCCCAAGGAAGTAAAACAAGCCCACAATGTTGAAAAGGGAACATCAAATGCCATTGATAGTGACATGATCTAACCTCAGAAATGGAGACTGGAAACCTAGGGCGATAACACTGAGAGACACCACACAGCTGCAAGCTCACCAATTAACATTCCACATAACATAGATTACGGTTTTCTAGATATTCATCACCAAAGTTGACTCAGGAAGAACTAGAGGCTTCCAGTTACGTAGAGTGGATGCGACACTTTACAGCTCATCTGCTTTGAAATGCCCCTGAAGTGACATGGGGAAGGTAGAAAAGAGCAAGTGGGCAAGGCCGGAGAACAGCAAGGAAGGACGTGCAAGGCAGGGCTGAAGTCAGGAGGCTGGGAAAGTTCTAGATAAAGTCCAGCGAGGCACCCAGACCCCAGCGCCACTTCTCCCGCAGGAGGCTACAAGTGTTTTCTGGGTAAGCTGAGCTCAGGGCTGTGGAGACCGGAGGTGTGGAGGAGAGCAGGGAGGTGGGGTGTCATGGAAGTTCCATTCCCCCTTCCTGGTCTCAGGGCATCCCCCCACAGGTGGGACCTTGGAGGTTCCCTCTCTGATTGCCACCTGCAGCTGAGCAAAGTCCTGAAGCCCCAGCAGAATCTGGCAGGTTTCGTTGCCTCATGGTAGGTGAGGGGACCTCAGTGGGTGATGCCACCCACAACCTGGAGGCACGTGAAGCTGTGAATGGAAAGAACTTGCAAAAGGAGAAGCGTGAGAGGCTGAGGGCCCGGAGCCAGGGACGTAGGGGTGGAGGGAAGGTACGGCTCACGCCCAGAAGCAGTGCCCTCTGCCTGTCTGTCTATAAACATGTCTTTCCTGCCAGTCAGAGAGTGGGTGCCTTGAGGTCTTGTGCATTTCGGGTGCACAGGGCCTGCTCGCGACAGTGTCACACAGCAACTTTCACTGAAACTCACATTGAGCGATGCGTTGCATGCACAAGCCATCGCCTGAATTCATTCTGATACTGTTACTATGATTGTCAGTTCCGTATGTGGCCAGTGCTCGGCGGCTCGCACCCATCACCGTCCTGGTGGTTGTCGTGCTCCAACGTGCCTGGGAATTGGACTCACCCCTGTCCTTGTGCTCCTGGAATACGGCAAGCTCGCCTCGGCCGGAGAACTCGTTCTTGTAGTCCAGCAGCACTTCCCTCACAGCTTTGTAGCCGTGCACGACCACAACGCGCCGCCAGCCCAGGTACAGTGTGAACACCGGCCCAAAGCGCTCTGCCAGCTGCAGAGACCAGAAGGCACAGAGTGGGGCCAGGCCGTGCAGAGGACAGCCTCGCTTTATAATCCCCTCCCCGCCAGTTGTTAATGTTGTAGATCAAGAGAACCCATAGGGGTTTGGGGAAAGGCCATCCTTCCCGCAGAGGCTGTTGCATGCGCAGGGCCCATCTGCCCACCTGCCCTCGCCCAGTAGGGCGCACCCACTCCACCTACTCTGGCTTTTCAGATCCCTTCTCTGAGGCCACTTTGCCAACACCAGCTCCTAACACCCCATCATCTGCTTCTCTGGTTAAGCTCCCGGGCTCCAGGACACCACAAGCTGACCTGGAGCAGGCACCTCCTCCCCACAGGAGAAGTGTGAGAGGCTGAGGGCCCGGAGCCAGGGATGTGGGGGTGGAGGGAAGGCGCAGCTCATGCCCAGAAGCAGTGCCCTCTGCCTGTCTGTCTATACACGTGTCTTTCCTGCCGGTCAGAGAGTGGGTGCCCCGAGGTCTTGTGCATTTCAGGTGCACAGGGCCTGCTCGCTACAGTGTCACGCAGCAACTTTCACTGAAACTTGCACTGAGTGATGCGTTGCGTGCACAAGCCATCGCCTGAATTCATTCTGATACTGTTACTATGATTGTCAGTTCCGTATGTGGCCAGTGCTCGGTGGTTCACACCTATCACTATCCTGGTGGTTGTCGTGCCCCCAATGTGCCTGGGAATTGGACTCACCCCTGTCCTTGTGCTCCTGGAATACGGCAAGCTCGCCTCGGCCGGAGAACTCGTTCTTGTAGTCCAGCAGCTCTTCCCTCACAGCCTTGTAGCCGTGCACTACCACAACGCGCTGCCAGCCCAGGTACAGTTTGAACACCGGCCCAAAGCTCTCTGCCAGCGGCAGAGACCAGAAGGCACAGAGTGGGGCCAGGCCGTGCAGAAGACAGCCTCACTTTATAATCCCCTCCCCCCAGTTGTTAATGTTGTAGATCAAGAGAACCCATAGGGGTTTGGGGAAAGGCCATCCTTCCCGCAGAGGCTGTTGCATGCGCAGGGCCCATCTGCCCACCTGCCCTCGCCCAGTAGGGCGCACCCACTCCACCTACTCTGGCTTTTCAGATCCCTTCTCTGAGGCCACTTTGCCAACACCAGCTCCTAACACCCCATCATCTGCTTCTCTGGTTAAGCTCCTGGGCTCAAGGACACCACAAGCTGACCTGGAGCAGGCACCTCCTCCCCACCGCCCGTTACCCTCCATCATGCATACCCCCTAACGCAAACACCAAGCCCATGCTCTGTGCTTGATGGTGTCTTTATCAACTCCTTTAATTTTTAGATTTGTTAGTTCATTCAATGTTTAGACAGTCGTAGGAGGCAGCTATTGTCATTATTGTGGAACCACAGGGGTGGGTCCGACATTTCACTTTTCAGCCTTCTCCTAGGCATCACACAGGTTGACCCAACCAGTGACCATTTGGTCCAAGAGCATCCTCATCCTGGCATCGCAGCTGGCAGATAGCAACTGCGCAGCCACACAGGCCTCCCCATGACCCGTAGGCAAGGCTGGAGCAGGGGCCCCCAGGGCCTGCCATGCATACCCAGTCTGAGTGCTCCAAGCCCAATCTGTACCGTTAGCTAAATATTTTGAATTTTACTCCTAGATGCCTGCCACTGTTTATTCAGTTCATTCATAATGGGCTGGCATTGAATAATGACAATTTTTCTGACAATGAGCTAAATACACATATATTACATTTAATTCCTGAATTATTCTCCCTAAAATCAACAGTATTTCTCTTACCCTGGTGAAGGACTTGGGAATGTTACTCAACTCCAACTGGAAAAGATTCCCAATTATGGGAAGTGGGAAAGGCCCTGGGGGCAGGTTCCAGCTGCTGTGGACCTGCTTCCAGATGGACACGAGCAGGAGGATGGCCACCCACCCCAGCAGGGTGGCGGTGATGCCAAGGACAGCCATGGTGCCTCTGCGGTCCGGCTGCTGATGTGTGGGGACTCCTGAGGAAAGGCAGAGCTTTTATGGTGCATCGTCGAGAAGGAGGGTGACCCACCAGCCAATGCCACCTTACTTCTTCTTTGGCCCACATTATTGGTTCATCATTAGCTGCTGTTGGCATCATTGCAAAAGCTGACTCCTGCAGTGGTTGNCTGCTGTGGACCTGCTTCCAGATGGACACGAGCAGGAGGATGGCCACCCACCCCAGCAGGGTGGCGGTGATGCCAAGGACAGCCATGGTGCCTCTGCGGTCCGGCTGCTGATGTGTGGGGACTCCTGAGGAAAGGCAGAGCTTTTATGGTGCATCGTCGAGAAGGAGGGTGACCCACCAGCCAATGCCACCTTACTTCTTCTTTGGCCCACATTATTGGTTCATCATTAGCTGCTGTTGGCATCATTGCAAAAGCTGACTCCTGCAGTGGTTGCCTGTTAGCAGTTTCATTTAGTGACCTCTCCAGAATGAAACTGGCCTCTGTCAACACTCTGCATGCTGGCACCTGTCACCAGTGCCATTAAACACACCCAGGGATGCTTTACTAGCCCATAGGTCAGAACGTGGGGTGGGGACTATCCTCCCCTTTGAAACTGGTTGGACAAGGGGATTTAAGTCAAGTTTCCCGAGTTTGTTTGAGGTAGGATTTATGTAAGGCAACACCAGCCACGTGCTGACCACCCGCAGGTGGGGTGCCAGCTCTCCTGATGCAAAAGCCTCTTAACACTGATCAGGAACACTTGTCTTCTGAATGTGTACATTTCAAAAGCAAGGGTTTGGTTTATGTTCTGAATCTTATTCAACTGACTGGAACTTTTAAGACAAGGTAAAATAATCAGGATGATGGCATGACTGTGCCCTGTGCTGGTGGCGTAGACGCTTCTCCAGGTCTGCTGTTGGTTGGGTGTGGCAAAGAGGTGATCACATCAAGACAATTTTCTTCTTTCTCCAGTTAACTAACAGTATTTAGTAGGGATGAGAGTTGAGTAAATAAATATCTTTTTCATTGAAACAATTCTCTGAGTTTTCTCCTTAGATCTACTAATGTAATGCTAGATTAAAAACATTGTCTCATATAAAAGTATGCTTATAGTTCCACATCACAGCCAACTTTTTCAGTGACATTCTTTCAACATGCTCGTGGATTCAACTTGTTATTAGTTTTTTCATACTATTAACATAGATAATAGCAATAGTAACGGCAATAACATAAAATAATAGTATAATTCTACAAATAGAATTTTGCCTGTATACCCATAAATAAAATTGGGCTATAGGTTTTTTTCTATTTTATTAGTTTCTTGTGTAAGAATAATGCCAGCTACAGAAACAACTGAAATACTCTCCATCTTTCTCTCTGCTCTGGGATACTTTCAATTGTAGAGGAATTGTCTGGGCCTTGAAATTTTGATATAACTCACTAGTAAAACAATATGAAGATGCTTTATTGAAGTTGAAAAATTAATTTTAATTAGGAAAGTAAAATATTTCCTTGTAACAAATCCAGATGATTCAGAGGTGGATAAAGCAAAATGTGAGAGTTCTAACTCGCCCCACAGGTGTGACGTCCGTATTTTAAACCCCATTCAGAAACAAAAAGTGCTGCCAATTCTATTATTATTATTATTATTATTATTTTCCTTTTTGTCTTTTTTCATGACCGGCAATGGATCGCAACCCTCAGTGTCACGCCCGTACTGGCCCGGGACCGGCAACGGGATCGCAACCCTCAGTGTTGCTCCCTGCACCTCGCTCAGCCAGTGAGCGGGAACCGGTCTGTATGTGGGATCTGAACCCTTGGCGGGAGCGCCGCCGCGCTTCCCAAGCAGCGCACTGCAGCAGTGCGCCACCGGGCCGGCCCTATTTTTATTATTTTTAATTTTTATTCTGTGCTTACTAAAAGATTCCTTTTGCACGTACTTTAATTCTGTGTTATCACACGGATTTGAATTACTGTCTACCGTCCTTTTATTTCAGCCTGAAGGACTCCCTTTAGTATTTCTTCGAAGGCCGGCCTGCTAGTGATGGACTCTCATGAGGATGCAGGGTTCTCGGCTGACGGTGTTTCCTCCAGCACTTTGAGTGGGTCGCCCACTGCCTCTGGCCGCTGTGGTGTGTGACGAGAAGCCAGTGGCTGCTTTCACTGAGGATTGCTTCTTCACGGTGAGTCGTCCTGCTCCTGCCACTTTCAAGTTTCCCTCTTTGTCTGTGGAAGGTTTGACGACAATGTCTACATGTGGATCTCCTTTAGTTTACCCTACTTGGAGCTTGTTAAGATTCTTGCATATGTAGAGGAATGTTTTTCAACAAATTCAGGAAGTTTTCAACCAGTATTTCTTCAAATAGTGTTTCGGTCCCCTCTCCTTGTCCCTCCTTCTGGGACTCACATTATGCAAGTGTGGGTATTCTAGACGTCCCACAGGTCTCTGAGGTCCGGCTCATTTTTCTTTATGTTGACAACTTTGCTCGTGTTTTTGCTGCTCTTCTGGAGGAACAGATTTTCAGAAGTTCTTACTCTGCCATTCTGGAAGTGCATCTCCTGCCTGTCCTGTCAGGAAAATAAGAGCTTTCCAAGAAATTTCCAGAAAATCTGAGATTTTTTTTTTATTAGTTAGAACATAGCCTCTACTATCTGCAAGAAAGGTTGGAAAGTGAGTAGCTTTTTCAGACTTTATAAGTGGATGTGTTCGAACGATAAGGAAATTAGGAATAGTATAAAATTATTAATCAATAGTGTGGTCCATAACGTGGTTAACAGTTTTCTGTATATCCTTCCAAACTTTTTTTTAAGCACATGTACACACACACACACTTTGTTTCTTTTCAGAGAATCTGATCACAGTAATCACCAAATTATTCACGTAGCAATAATTACATCACAGGTATATTCTTGTGAAAAGCCAGAACCGACAACTCTCCATCATTCTTTCTAATGGCTGGATAATATTCCATTTTATGAATATTTCATAATTTATTCGTCTATTTTGAGTTGATGAACAGTTCCCCATCCCCCAACCTCTTACTATTCCAGTGCTGCAATGGTGCCCTTGTAGATGTATCTTTTTCAGACATGCATGTATTTCTTTAAATTAGTTTTGTGGGAATAGGAGTGTTAGATCACTGGGTATACAAACTCGAATTGTTAACAGATACATAAAATTGCTTCTCAGAAAGATTGAAACACTTTAACCACCCCCCCATAGTAGTAAGGGAGTGCCAATTTCTACCCATCTTCTCCAACACTAGATGCTGTCATTCACTTAGTAAAAAATCTTGTCTCTTTACTTTTATTTGGATTTTTCTGATTAATAAAGAAGTAGAGCAGATTTTCACCTGTTATTTATTAGAATTTCTTATTTAATAAATATTTATATATTGTTCTTTTTTATATTTGGAGTTTACATATTATCGTATTTTTAGGACTCTTTGTATATCAAATAAATAGTAGTTATATTTCTGTTTTCTGTTTTGGAAATAACTTTTCCCAGTATTCTGTTTGATTTCCCATATAGAAATTTAGATTTTTATATAGTTAAGAATTTCAAACTTTTGCATTCTGGACTTTGGAATTCAGATCATGCTTTAAAAGAGTGTCTTCATCCTGAGATTACAAAAAATATATTTTATATTTTAAGGTTTGTTAATTATTTTTTAATTGTGCAGTTTAAAATTGTTTTTTTAGAAAAATCTATGGGATTTTGTCATTTTAAAGTAAGGTGTGTTGCTTATGTTTTATTAAATTTTCCATTATTTTAGAATAATCCACTTTGATATGTTCAATTCGCATTAAAAATCGGTGATTTGTCTTCTAATTATATCTTTTAGCGGTATAAACATCTTTTTCCCCCTCTGGTAACTGCTGCCACATGTTTTTTCTTTTTGTAGTATTTCCCTGGTCTGTTTTTGTTCATCCTAGCATTTAAAGTATCTCTATGTCATTTTTTTTATTGTAAGCGTCTCATAAACATCCTATAGCTTTGACAAAATTGGAAAGTTTTCCCTTTTAAGAAGAGAATTAAGCAGGCATATTTGTCACAATCACTGGTAAATTTGGCTTTATTATATATAGTAATGTGTTGCTTGCTGACAGAGACACATTCAGATAAATGTGTTGTTAGACTCTGTCACTGTGCAAGCATCACAGTGCACTTGCACGGACCTTGACGATACAGCTCGCTACAAACCTATAACGTCATGCGACCACTATAAAATGTGCAGTCCACCATCAACCAAAACGTTGCTAGGTGGCACATGACTGTACGTGCAAAGCTACTTCAGAAAGTTTACGGAAAGTTTAGCATTATCTTTGAATTCTATCCTTTCAGAACTTTTTGAAGTACCCTCGTGTGTGTGTTTCCTTTCCCCACCTTTTGCTGCATTGATCTTTCTGTTGTTTGTTCCTTTCCTTCCTGCTCTTTTACTAGTGATTACCCTTCAACATGACAGTACACTTAGACTTACAGTGCTTGACTAACTTCAAGAAATCAATATGTTTCGATCTCAACAGGAAGAGACCTTTAGCACACTTTCCTTCTCTGCTTGCCATGCAGTATACCGCTCCACTTCAACTCTCAGGAATTTTAATCTCAGAATATTTGTTTTAAATTTCTTCAAATATATTTTCTTCTGTTTTATAAATCAATTTTTAGCAATGGCATTAATATTTACAGCCACTTTATCAAGTGATTATTTGCCTTCAAATACATGCTTTTGCTAATCTCTTTGCCTGTTACTTCTGCGTCACATCTTGTCTTTCTCGGATTCCTGCTCCTAGACTCGTAAAATCTCCCACTCGGAACCAGGTTTTATGGGGAGAGGACGGGCTCCACGAGGTGGCCCGTTCGGAGTATCCATCTGCCTGGGCCCCTTGACC